GGGTACAGACTTTCTGGATTCCAAGCCAAATAAACTGCTCCCTAGGCCCCAGAGCTGCTCTCAAAGAAGGCTGTACTATGTGCTTCAAGTTTCTGAGGCCCGGCTAGAATCTGAGCAGTTGGAGACACACACAGGAGATTCTCGCAGGAGGGCAGCCATGACCCTGGAAACCAACTCACTCAAACCAGCCCCTAATCTGGGGGAACCTTTTTAAATGTGACACAGGATGTGTCAAGAAACCACTGGTTTCCTGAAGCATGGGAAGGAGGTCAGGGTCATTCCAGGTCATAGTCAGCCCTCGAGTTATTCCCATGATGATGCTGTCAGAGAGGTCAGAGAATCCAGCCAGGGAGGCCAGGCTTTGCCAAGTAAATGGTGATCATTGGTAAATTACTTAAACGTTTAAAGCCTTAGTTCCTGTATCATTGCTCCCAAAGTTTATATGTGTGTGTTTGTGTGTGTGGTATACATGTGTGAATATCCACATTTACGTGTGAGGGTGTGCAATACCCACGGCGACGGGAGGCAAGGATAGACCTTGCTTGGCTTCCTCCTCCTGGTTTTGTTCCGCCTGGGCTGCCAGCCCATTGAAGAGTGCTGCTCACATTCAATCTGTGCCTCTCACTTACTAGGTCAAATGTGTCTAGGAACGGCGTTCCAGATACACCCAGAAGTGTGCTTTACGGACCTCTTCGGCACCTCTCCGTCTAATTGAGTTGACAGTGAAGACTGGCAGGCACACTGCTTTCCCTCCTGTCCTGGGAGGAGCGGGAAGCCTGCAGGGACATCTGAAGTGGGAGGCAGGAGGTTTTGCGGTGAGCTGGGCTACACTCTGAGTCGGGGGTAGATTCAGAGCCCAGGATACTCGGTGATGAAAAGGATACTTGACTGTGGTGGTGCACACCTTTAACCCCAGCACACGGGAGGCAGAAGCAGGCAGAGCTCTGGGAGTTTGAGGTCAGCCTGGTCTACTGAGTGAGTTCCAGGACAGCTGAGGCTATGCCAAGAAACCATGTCTTGAAAAACAAACAAAAAACAAAAACAAACAAGGCAAAACCAAACAAACAAAAAAGAAATTCATACTCCAACTAGGTGGAGTAAAACACAGGACAGGTGTGTTTTGTCAACTTGACATAAGCTAGTTGTGGGATCCAAGGAAGCTCTGAGGGGATGGGTAAAGAGGGGATGAGGTCTGACCCCAGTAAGTTCAGGTCTCAGCCATGTTGGTCATGGTAGCTGGGTCATCTGGGTAAAGGGAACTTTTGTTCTTTTTTTTTAAAAATAATAAGATGATGGGATGTCCCGGGCAGCTCGCAGAGCAGCTGCTAGTGGCTGTGGGTCCCTGCAAGATCTCCAGGGTGGCAGCGCCATGTGGCCGGGGGAGTCAGGGTTCCCGGGCGAGCGGCAGAGTCAGGTGGCTGGATGCGGTGGATGGCAGAGTAAACGGACATAAGGCTATACATAAAGCTAGACATTTATTACTTAAAAAAAGGGAGACATAGACAAACATAGAGAGAACAAAGACACACGTACATACGACACGAAACACACACACACACACACACACACACACACGAGAGTGAAGATGGCGGCGAGGGGGGGAGGTGGGGTCAGAAGTGGCTGGGGTGGGCGTGGTTAGTTCTTAAAGTGTCCCAATAGAATAACAGGAACCTCAGTTGAGAAGATGACTCCATTAGACTGGTCTGTGGGTGATTCTGAGGAGGGCATTTTCTTGATTAACGATTGATGTGGGAGGGTTCACAGCACTGGGGTGCTACCAACCCTGGGCAGGTGGTGGTCTTGGGTAGCATAAAAAAACAGGCAGAGCAAGCCATGAGCGAGCAAGCCAGTGTAGCCATGGCCTCTGCTTCAGTGTCTGCCTCAAGCTCCTGTCCTGGCTTCCCTGACTGATTCACTCCAGCATTGAAACGTAAACCTCAAATCAACCTTTCTCTTTCTTCAGGATGCAGTGTTTTTCCTCGGAAGAAGTTTCTGCACAGCAGTACTGGGGCTGGTTATTGTGTTTGCCAGGTAAGAACTTCACAGACTGAGCCATCTTCTCAGCCCCAAGATGGGAGAGTTCTAGTAGCGGTTGCAGATTAATCTGCATGCTGTACATGCATCATTCCTAAGCATCAGTCAAACAGCATTAAAGCACCGAGGCCCTTGCCGCTGAGACGGGTGCTGAAGTCGGTTTGTGTCAGGTTTGACATGAAGAGGGGGTGGGGGTGGACAATAGCTTTGAGACTGAGAGGGACATGGTCGGAGACCCATGTGAAGTGATGTTCTGGACCAACAGCAGGGGAACTGAGGTGGCAGGAAACAAGTGAGTGCTGTCTGTCTTTCTCCTATTGATTGTGTTTGTATATCCTGGAGAGGCTGAGAAATCCCAGTGTCAGCAGAGAGCGGCTACCCTGCTGCTGTGGGAAATGACTGCCGGGACAGCCGGGAAGCGGTCACCACAGGGAAGGTGACCCTGCTGATCTGGAGCCTGGAGGCGCTTGAGTCACTTTTGGATGCTTGGGTGGAGTGAGGAAGCTGGGGCACTTGCTCATGTTGCTGGAGGTAGAGCCCCACGCCAGACACAGCAACGGACAAAGACGGGCAAGGTTTCCACAGCAGGGCTGGGCTAGGGTCATTTCTGGACATTTGGACAGCCTTTCGGAGTTTGGAGAATTGGTGTTTCCTCTGGACCTGTCAAAGGTCAGAAGACAGCAGTGACTGCTGTCCCTCAGGTGCTGTCTGTCGTGTGTTTCGAGGCAGGTTCTCTCACTCGCCTGGAACTTACCAAGTAGGCTAAGCTGGTTGGTCATCCACCCCAGAGACCTGCCTACTTCCACTTCCCCAATGCTAGAATTACAAGTTCATGCCAACTGCTGTGCCCAGCTTTTTAAAACGTGGGTCCCAACTGGACTCAGTTCTTTGTGCTTTCCTTTGCCGACTGAGTATTCCCAGAACCCCTTAATTTTCTTTTAAATGAAAAGACTATGTTTTGAGTATATTACTTTGCAGTTTCTTTCTTGTATGCATTGTGAGAAAGCTCATCTCTCTTTCCATTTGGGTAACTACAAGCTTACAGAAACATGCTAGGCGTGACAATTGGGTTGGTGTGTGTGTGTTTGTGTGTGTGTGTGTATGTGAGAGAGAGAGAGAGAGACAGAGACGGAGAGACAGAGAGACAGAGACAGAGAGACAAAGAGAGAGAGAAAGAGAGAGAGAGAGAGCCCACACCTTCAGGGGCCACCTTTTCATAGTGCTGTGGTGAGGTGGTTATGTTTAGGAGCCATGTGCCTAGGGCCAGGACAGAGGCAGGAGTCACGCAAGTCTCAGAGTGGTGCTGATGGTGATAGGGAGCCAGCTAAGCAGGAAGAGGGTACTGTGGAACCAACAAGTCTTGAAACTTTGGGTAGGGCCAGCCACTCACCTTCAAGGAGTCGAGTTGGTTGGCTGGCTACAAACTGCCAAGGTGTCTCAGCCACAAGCGCTGCCATCTGTTGAATGGTTATTAGGACCCTTTACAGTCATGCCCCCAAAGAGTCTGTGTTCTGTCATTTCTGTCTTATAGGATGGAAACATGGAGGCTCAGTGGATAAGAAAGCCACCCAAGGTTAACATCATCAAGCTAACAAAGGACAGAGCTGACAATGCCAACCACATCAGTGACCCCAAAGCCCAAGCCACAAGCCACTTCTCTGTGCTGTCCCAGACCTGAGCTGAGCACTCAGCACGCTTCCCACAGAGGGGAGGCATTGCATAGCAGCTGACACCTGCCAGCTCTACCTAGGTGTCAACCTGCTGTTTCACAAGCAAGTTCTGTTCTGGTTTCTGCCCCAGGGCCTCTAGGCCTGACCAGGATGTGGGAATTTATCACTGGGTTCCATCTGTCACACACACAGACACACACACGCACACACACACACACACACACACACACACTCACGCACACACACATAAGCACGCATGCACACACACTGGATGAGGTATGCAGCCTGTGGGTCTGAGCCCAGCCCTAGGCATGTGAGCACTCTTGGTTTACCTTAGGTGTGAGCTCATCTACAGGCTGAATGAGGAGGCAGGTCTCTGCTCCAGCGTGGAGAGAAATAGGGCCTCACTCCCACGACAGCTTCCTCATATATGCTTAAGGGTCCTCTCTCCATGGGACACTGTAACCAGAGACTGGTTTGACATGAGAGGGGCTGTGGGTAACGATGGGGTGCCCTTTGGGAGAATAGGGAAGCCATGGTTAGATCTTGTCAATTGGAGCTTCCTGCCCTTCCCCCACGTGGCCAACGGAACCAAGCTGCTGGAATCAAATGAACCAGAAGAGGAAGTTTTAGATGACTGTCTGGTGTCTTCATTTTACAGATCAGGAAACTGAGGTTTGAGGGCAACTGTGACTCATAGTAGGTGACAAGCCATCGAGGGTGGAGATGAGCAAGCTCCTGAGCCCTCACAGCGCCTGCAGATACACAGCCTTCTCTGAGGGGCCCCAGGATCTTTTCCATGGCATCATCTGAGTCTATTCTCCCCCGCCCCCATCCCCTGGAGCCAACTCCCTCTACAGGCCAAGGCGTACATTGCCCTTGGCCAGGAGGCTGCTTGCTCTTATCAGGGCCTGGGCACCTTAGCTTCACTACAGTGGCTCATGTCCAGGTGGCTTGCCTCCTGAATGCCTGCTAATCTTCTATTGTTTGGAAAATTTCTATTACTTCTCTAGTAGGTATATCCCAGTTTCCTGCTGGGAATGGTCCCTGCTCCAACCCCCACAACCCACAGGTCTCTCTCAATATCTTTCTCAGTCTCACTCCTCTCTCTCTCTCTCTCTCTCTCTCTCTCTCTCTCTCTCTCCATCTCTTTCTGTCTCTTTGTATGTGTCTCTCTCAGTCTCTGTCTGTCTGTCTCCATGTGTGTGTCTCTCTCAGTCTCCCCCCATCTCCACATACATACACATTTCTTTAGCTACCAATAGATAGAAAGGGCAGGCAGTAAAACTCCAGTTTGGACATGAGAAATAGAGACTTCAGAATGTTGTTTGAGACTAATGCCTCTTGACTCTCATACTCTACACACCCAGGAGCCAACATGCTCCCTTCACAGAGCCATCTTTGTGGTTTTGAAATGGATTCCACAGAGTTGTACACTGCACAGCCTGGCTGGCTGTATGAAGAACCCAACTGTGCACCTGCCCTGTGCCCCAAGTGAGGCAGACACTTGGTAAATGAACTCTGGCTTCAGTGCAACCATAACTCAGAGAAGTGGTCATCCCTTCCCTCTCTGCTGCTTTTCTGCACCCCCTCCCCCACTTCCTTTCTGCATCCCCCTCTTCCCTCCCCACTTCCTTTCTGCAGCCCCCCTTCCTTCCCTGCTTCCTTTTTGAACTCCTTTCAATTTCCTGCCTTTTCCACTGAATTTTTCATTGGGAAGAAACACGTTTAAAGATGTGAGGCACACGCTTTGCTGGGTCTCAGCTTTGATGAATCTTTGATGCTTGAGGCTGAGGAGGCAGGCGCTGCACCAGGCCAGGAAAGGAGGGAGGGGTGGAGAAGGGGCCTCCAAGAATACTATCCTCCTTCCCTGCACCTACCACGGGGCATTCATACACCTACCACCTGCCTGGCCTAGCAGTGCTCTGCAGTGGTAACCTGTGTACAGGCAGACACACGTGTGTGGAGGCATGTGTACATAGGCGTGTGAGGTTTGAATAGATGGGACTCTGGCCGGAGAATGCACTGCAGCTGGCAGCCAGTGCCATCTCAGAAGCCATGTGCTCTGCCCTTTCACTGCAAGCCCCGTCTCCTGGAGCTCTGAGGTCATGCGATTGCTAGGCAGGCTCAGTCTGTTCAGTGCGCATGCTACCCGTACGGAGAGCCCCTAGCAGCAGACCCTGCCTGGGAGGACAGATAGCCACCTTTGTATTATACACACAACAGCAGAGAATGACAGAGGGCCAGCGCTCTGGACTTTGGCAGTGAATGACTGGCTTGGAATGCTAATCCATCTGACCTGAGTCTGGAAGTAACACTCTAACCATCCTTCTGGAGGAGAAGCTCTGCCAGGCACAGGTGTCTAGTTCAGATGTTTGGTGGGGTGGTGCGGGCCACCCTCACCCTTACTTGCCACTCGGCGTAGCCTCTCTCAGGGTTGAAGGCACATCACCAGGCAGACAGAGGTAGCATGGCCCCATAATTTCTACATCTGCCTTTCCCATTGTTGATCTTTACTAAAACAGTAGGTTGGGCTCCACCTCGGGTACCAGTGGTGCCAGTGACTGGTCCTTTCTCCTGCTCCTCCTCTTGCTCCCTCTGGCTCTCTGTCTACCAAAACAAACTCTCCTCCAGGTTATTCTTGCCAAGTGTTTATTTGCTCATGGCAAGGGGAAAAGTAACTGGTAGAGAAAGTTTGTATCAGGAGTGGGGTCATTGTGATGACCATTTGGTTCGAAGGCCTTTGGAACTGGTTTGTGGGAGGAGTGTGGAAGACTTCGGAACTTTGGGCAGGGCAGTCCTAGAATACTGCAGAAGTGTTTCCAAGGCTGGACCCAGTGTCCCCCACATGGAGGCTCCAGTTCTGCAATGCATGTCGGGTGTTTCCAGGAAATTCCTGGATAGCACCGACTCTCTTGCAACAGCACAACTCTGCTCTGGAGAGTCCTCTTAACTGGCTCACTCCCAAGTGGCAAGTGCCAACATGCATGTCCCTTCGCGCCTACTTGTGTGCCTCAGGAGTTCTACTGACTGAATCTCATGCAGTGACGCTGGGATGAACCTCAGGGTAATGAGTCCCCAAGCTTCTTTCCCAGGTGAGGGTATGTAGAGCAGCCATCCCCTTCTCACACCGCCCCCCAGTTAGACCTCACAGACTGATTGACTGAGATCTGTCTCCGTAATTTGAAGTTAGCAAGACACCTAAAAACCACCCTCTTCGTCTCCTCCCTTCTCCTTCCACAAAACCACTATTAGTCAACTGCACATGTGTATAAATGACTTTTACCAGATTGCTTTTCTGTTACCATTTCCAAGAGGAGGAAGTTTTAGTCCAGGCTGAATAAACGCCTAAGTCAGGAAGGACCTCGTAGACCTTTTGCCTCCTAATGCGATGGCTGGACTTGCTTATCTTCTTCACAGAACGAGGTAGATGGTGGTGAATATTTGATGCTGCAGGGTATTAAGCAACTTCAGTGTTCTTCAGAGTTGACTGACGGTTTGATTTTTATGGCCATAAAGACTGAGGAATCTGCTTCAGGTCTATAGACAGACAAAAGATGGGAAAAAAAGCATGCTTAAGGCCATATCAGAAATTATTCTGATGTCAATCCAAAATCAACTTAAAAATTTTTTAAATGAAGTGAATGATTTTTAAAATCGGTCATTTGGAGCCAGAAAGATGGCTTAGCAGTTCAAAGCGTTTGCTTTGGAAGGCTGGTGACCTGAGTGTGACCTCTGGAACCTCCATGATGGAAAGAGAGAACCAATTCCATAAGCTGCCCTCTCACTGACACATAAGCCAAGTGGCGTGTGGGCCCTCACACACACACAAGCATGTGGTAAGAAAGAAACCATTCTAATACAGTACAACCCCACAATATACTAATTTGATACTTAGTTGCTGAGGAATGACAGCAAGAAAATATTAAGCCTTTGTTTCCTATAATTAAATCATTATGTATCTATAAGAGCCATTTTTTTCCATATACATTAAAAACACAGCAATGCAGCCAGATGTGGTGATGCATGCCTTTAAGCCCAACACTTGGGAGGCAGACACAGGGACGGTGGATCTCCATGAGCTCGAGCCAAGCTGGCTATACAGAGGGAGTTCCAGGCTCGTCAAGGCAACATAGTGAGACCCTGTCTCAAATAAAATGAAACAACAAAACACTGCAATTTATTACAGGTAAGGGTCTTCATCTGAGCGTCACAAGGTGCGACAGCACATCCACGTGTGAATCTTGTGTTCGGAACCAAGGCCCAGTGAAGTTTAGAAAGGCAACATGGCTGAGTCTGGAGGTTAAGGGGCCGGCATCTTGTCAGACAAGGGTGTAGACTTCCTGTAAGAAATTCATAAGCAGTTGATTGGCAAACAAACTTTGGGACTAATTTTGACCTCCCAAATCTGAGTCTTAGAACAAAAGCCCCTGTACAGGTGTAGGGTTCCTGCTTGGGCTATGCAGTCCCCTGACTCCTCAGACTCCCAGGGCACTGGGGGACAGGGACCCAGCTAGGCAGTTCTGGTCTACAGCCTCGCCTCATACACCCCCTGAGCACCATGAGAAGGCAGTGTGTGCAGCCAAGCCAGAGCCAGCGACACCTAGCCATGATGCTGCCCAGCTCAGGGCTCCACCCACAACCCTGTGACTTATCTGTGTAGCGAGGGAGCACACAAAATAATCTCCCTGAGAACTTTTGGGAACTGGTGCCTTGACTTTTTCCATCCATGTGCATACAGGCGCGTGTGTATGGAGGCCAACAGGCGTGGTCCTCAGATCACAGTCTGCATTTTATCGAGACAGCCACCACTCACTTTCACCTGGAGCTCACCTAGCCTTGCGAAATGCATTAGCTGACCTGGTGGGAGAGGGAGACAGCTCGGACAACTCAAGTCCGCCAATCTCCTTGATTCTTCAGCTTCCTCATCTGTACGCTTCTCACCCTCACAGCAAAGAAGCAAAGGCATATGGTGGAAGATTTAGAAGTCTACCCTGATCTCTTTGGCCTAGCCTGCGGAAGACCCCATCAAGCCTTCTCAGCCTTCACGGCTGTTCCTTCTGGACTAACCATCTTTATAAGCAAACACATGACAGAAAGCCGGAAATGAGTATGATTTGGAGAAGTGGTTGTTATTGTGGAAAGAACGGCGGCTCAAGGTGCCTTCTGACCCCAAGAAGTTGTGTAACTTTGGTCTGTTCATGTGCAGAAGCCTCACGCTCCTGTGTGATGGTTCCTTCTCCACCCGCGCGCCCACACCCTACCCCTAGACTCCATATGTTCATCTTGGAGACACAATGACTTGATTTAGGCCACTGTGCTAGTTAATTTCTGTCAACTTGGCACAAACTAGGGACACCTGGGAAGAGAGGCTCAGTTGAGGAATTGCCTCCTTCAGAGAAGCGAGCCTATGGGACATTTTCTAGACTGATGACTGATGTGGGAGGGTCCAACCCTGTGGGCTGGGCCACTCCTGGGCAGGAGGTCCTGGGGTGTATAGGAAAGCAGGCTGAGCAAGCCATGGGAAGCAAGCCAGTAGGCAGCGCTCCTCAAAGACTTCTGCTTCAGTTCTGGTCTCCAGGTGTCCTGCCCTTGATGGTAGACTTTAACCTGCAAGATCAAACCGTTTCTC